ATTCTCCCTAAGAGATGGAACACCGCAATTACAGTCCAGCCCAGTAGATGGCGGTAATGCCCTGTGCATGACATATTCACCTACGTCATGCGTACACCGTCTGGGTGTTTTCGTTCCGGGTGTTCGTAGGTATGGCAGGTCGTTTTAACATTTATTAGAAGCAATGTCCTCCTTTGTTCCATTTGTTGATCTCTAAATTAAAGATTCTTCCTAGTCAAAATTACATTCCTACTAGTCAGAATTGTACATATAGATATGCTAAATTACATTTTTGCTAGCAAAAATTACATTTCATGCCATTTTAAGTGGCTGTTTTAACATATATTTGTTTGTATTTCAGATATCTTTAATATCCTCCTATCTAAAGTGAACATTTCAGATATCTGAAATGTAGTTCTTACTAGGACAAATGATGTCACAAATTGAGATATCTGGAATTCTAATTTAACTAGTCATAAAATAAGTAGTTGATATCTGTAATGATATATTTGTACTAGCAGAAATATATTTTAGATGTCAAGAATTGTACTTCAATTCAGTTCTGTTCAGTTTATTTATATAGCGCCAATTCACAACACAGGTCATCCGAGGCACTTTGCAGTTCACCAAATCATCCAGTCAAATTGATTCAAAGCTTTCTATCTAAGGAAAACCAGTTGATTGCATCGACTCATTGACTCGAATACAATCCCTAACACTTAGCATGCTTGTAACGACAGTGGGGAGGAAAAACTCCCTTTAAACAGGAAGAAACCTCCAGTAGAACCAGGCTCAGTGTGAGCGGCCATCTGCTGAGGCTGACTAGGGTTCAAGGAGACAGAAGCAGAGACACAAAAAGCAGATGTAAAAGGCGGCACAGTCCAGGAAACACACAGCTAGGCAGACGAGCTCTGAGCCAACTCCCATGTCAGACGATGAAGAGAGCACATCCACCCAGTCACAGCCAGAGAAACAGGACTACACTGGAAAAACAGGCCGATCTCCAACATCTATAAACAAAGGCGTTGATGGCAGCAGCACAGCTGATATTTCCTTTCTGGATATCTGTAATGTTATATTCATTTTTGATATCCGAAATAGTAATTATGACTAGCAGTAAGTGTATTATGGAGATCTGAAATTAGGGTTCATTCTAGTCATAATTCATTCTAGACAGGAAGAATGTTTATTTTAGATAGGAAGAATCCTATTTTAGATATCTGGAAGTAAAAGCCTATGGGAAACGTGACGTCATTTGTACTAGTAAGAATTACATTTCAGATATCTGAAATGTTTATTTTAGATATGAGGGATTTTATTTTAGATATCTGAAGTGTTAAATTTGACAAGGAAGAAATGCATTTGAGACATCCGAAATAATATTCCGCCAAGCTAAGAAATGTCAAAATGGCCTGCCATAGAGACTACACCGGTTTGCCAAATGTTTGCCTGCTGTCTCGCATCAGCAGCCCTGACTGACAGGTCATTGGCGAATTTGTATCACGTGAAGCCTGGACCCGGAAGCTCCAGAGGGCTTTACCGTATTAATAGGAGAAGCGGCGCAAGTGAAGTTAGACTATGCTCGGACATATGCGGTAATTTATAAATGTTTCAAATCAAGTTGGGTCCGGATTAGCCAGCAGGTGGATCCGGGTCCGGCCGGACCGCGGTCTGCTAATCTGTGACCACTGATTTAGACTTTAGAGTGTGAACCTGTAAAGTAGCCTTTTTGCTGGGAAAAGCAGAGCTGTTCTCCAATGCAGCGATAAGGCGCTGTCATAAACCCAGTGAGTGAAAGCAAAGGTTAGCGTGTTATTAGCATGCTTTTTGTTCCTGAACATCAGTAAGCTTCCAGCTGAGCAAGAGTTCGCATTGTGTGGACATGTCAACACCTGGCAGGGACGAGACACGCTTCCTCAGTGGGGTAGTGGAAGGTGAGATTATTTGTCAGTAATCCTGTTTAATCTGCTGGTCGTTTAAAATATATGTGAATTGCTTATGAGATAGTAATGTAAAATTTGTATTCTTCTTTTTTTATTTAGGGTTTTATGGGCGACCATGGACTATGGAACAAAGAACAGAGCTCTTTAAAAGGTGTGCTGCTTTACATAACATCTTGCATTAAAATTATAACAGACTTTCCACATTGAGTGTTTATTAATGTCCTGTTTGATGGTGCATTTTTGAAATGTTACATCTATGAAACATTGGTTGGTGCATCTATTAACATTATTGCAAAGCATGCTGTGTTTGTGTCACTGCAGAGTGAGCAATCATGCACACCTCAGCATGTCTGCACGGCAATCTGACTAATTTAATTACATCATTTTCATTTCTCCAAGGGAGCACATGTGGGGTCTGAACACCTATCTGTATGCTCCCAAGGATGACTACAAACACAGGATGTACTGGAGGGAATTATACTCTCCAGAGGAGGCAGGTCAGTCTTATTCATCCATCTATTGTTTGTACCTGTTTATTGGGGGAAGTCAGTCCATCACAGGTCAACACAGAGACACGCAGACAAACACCTGGTCTGTGGAACGAAGCTGAAGTAGGTCATACAAACTTGGCAAACAAAAAACCCAGTCTGAAAATCTAACCCAGCTGCACTGAAACGGTGTTCACCCATTTATAGAACTGTGCAGGCCTCCCCACCCCAAAATAAGATATTAATATATCTTCAGGAAGTGGGTTAAAATACTGTTTTAACTTGTGCAGACATGAATATATTATTTTAATAAATTTGTATTTGTAAAATGAAGTAATTGCAATCAAAATTAGTCAGGCAGTCTTTCAATATGTATGCTTTTAACAGATATATAACAGATAAAAAAAAAAAAGGATAATCTTAAATAAAAGAATATACTCCAAGCATATGTCATGATAGCATTTACTTAGTCCTTTTTGAGATTGAAAATAGTTTTTTTGCTCTGGGCTCAATCAACAGACCAATTTTAGTGTTTGAAGAATTAAGAAAAAACATTTTGTACGTAGACTGTGGTTAGATTAGAAAACATGTTGTTCAGAAGAACTGGCTCTCTGAAATGAGTGAGAAAAGAACAAACCAACAACTTTTAAAACTGCCTAAAGCTCCAACAATGGTTCATTCAAACGGGCATCTTAACTCTGACTGTTGACCTTTTGCTTTTATTTTTGTTGCTAGATGAGTTGTTTTGCTAATTTATTATAGTCACTTGTGAACATGGTGTTTCTGCTTTATGTGTGTTTGTCTTCTCAACTATGTGAAAGTTAATCAGTAAATAAAAGTCAAGGAAAGAAAGTAAAAGATTTGGGAAAGATAATCACCTGGTTTAATACATGTCTTCTGTTGGGCTTGTAACTCCTAAAAAAATGGCAGGCCGTTTTGACATTTATTAGAAGCGCTGTCCTCTCTTTTGTTCCATTTGTTGATCTCTAAAATAAGATTTTTCCTGGTCAAAACTACATTCCTACTTGTCAGAACTGTACATATAGATATCCTAAATAAATTTTTGCCAGCAAAAATTATATTTTAGGATGCAAAAAGTATAATTGTACAAGTAAGAATAAACTTTCAGATACTGGAAATCTTTAAATTTAAAGTGTTCCTTTTGACATTTATTAGCTTGACTGAATATGTATTTCTGATGTCTCAAATGCATTCCTTCCTAGTCAAAATGAGCATTTTAGATATCTAAAATAACATTCTTCCTATCTAAAATAAACATTTCAGATAACTGACATGTAATTCTTAACAGTACAAATAACGTCACGTTTCCTGATCATATGTATTGGGCTTTTACTTCCAGATATCTAAAAATGAATTCTGACGAGGATGAAGTCTAATTTGAAAACTGCCACACCCTTGTGTATTTTCTTTTATGTCCTTTTTGCTCTAAGTGTTGCACCAGATTTGAACCATTATCTCTGTAGAGACAATGTTTAAACGATGAGCTTAAACCATCTCCACGTTATCAGTAATGTTACAGAGTAAAGGGCAGTTACAGCATTTCAATGTCTAAACCACTAAACCTATTATCCACCTCAGAAAAAGACTTTATTACCTCATTACGTTTTATCTCTGATTTATAAATGCCTCCTCTGTCAGACCCTCCATCTTTCTCCTATATTTCCTTCTGCCTTTTTCCTAGAACAACTGGTCGCCCTGATCTCAGCAGCTGAACAGAATCAGATTGAGTTCATCTATGCAATCTCTCCTGGGCTGGATATCACCTTCTCCAACCCCAGAGAGGTAGCTGCCCTGAAGAGGAAGCTGGATCAGGTACAGTAGGACTTTGAAAGCCGAGGCCAAGGGTGGAGCTGGGCAGGATAAACTACTGCGCTTATCTAGGTTAATGGTTCCCTAGGTATTATTTTTCATAACTTTATATAAACTTTGAGCATTCTAAACCTAAACCTCAAAGCTTTTCACTTGTTGCAAAAACAAATGTAAGTGTTGGGATTCTATTTAATGGATTAACACATATCAGATTGGAGGGGGAAATTACAGGATGAAATTTGAAGTTTCACAAAAGAAAGGGGATGATGTTGTGTGCTACTGGATTCAGGTTCCTTTAATCTGATCCTTTAATCCTAAATAAAGCCCAATACAGCAAACTGCCCTCAGATTTGAAATTGTTTCTATTTTACACCTTGTCTAATTTAATCTCAGTTTAAATCCAGTTTTTCTGTGAAGACCTAAAAGGTTAGAGAACCAATGGCATCATGAAGACCAAGCAGAGATACTGATTCATAGCCAAGAAAACTGACCCCCTTTATAAATGTAGACAGTAAAAGGTTAGCTAAGAGAGCAGCCTCCAGCAGTCATAGAGGTCTAATGCTCAGATTTAATCCTGATGAGTACCCCATCATGCTAAAACAGCTGTATGGTTTCAGGTGAAGCAGTTCGGCTGCAGGTCCTTCTCTTTGCTCTTTGACGACATTGAGACTAACATGTGTCCCGCTGACAAGGAGGCCTTCAGCTCCTTCGCCCACGCACAGGTAGCCATCACCAACGAGGTTTACCAGCACCTGGGAGACGCCAAGACCTTCCTATTCTGCCCAACAGGTCAGAGACTTATCCTGAACACAGCATGGAACAAGGTTAGAAAGGTTAACCAAAAACAGTGAAACTAGACTTTAGAAACATTTTAATGAAATGAAATAAAAACTAGACCTTGCAAAAAAGTGAAAATAAAACATGAGGGCTTACAAAACAAATTAAAACAAACTAAATTGAAGGGTTGGCCCCTTTGCTCTTGGGGTCCCTTTGGCCATCTGGTTTCGGGTCCCCAGGCGCTGGCCTTGGTGCTCCGGGGGGGCGCGTCTTTGGCTATTCACAGCCACTATTGAGCATTTTTCCTTTGAATAAACTTAACATGCCCAGGTGCAGTCACACAAACAACTACAGGTGCTTGGCTCCAGATTCACTTCCATACAAAAAGCCCATATTCTTATCTTCAGCTTCCACAGTATACATGTCAGATTAAATAATACTACTTCAGCGATAGTATCAAGGTGCTATTTTATTGTATCTCTCATACTATATCCGTTGGTTGTGCTGTTCTTTTTAATTCTCTTTGCAGGCGATGAAGCAGGCTGAAGACGTTTTATCGTCATCTCCCTTTTATCTCCTCTTTCTTTCATCTTTTCTCCTTTTTTTGTTTTTCCTTTCCTTTTCTACCTACATTGCAGTGTCCATATAATCTGTAAAACTCCCTGCATGAATTACTATAAAGCAATTTATATGCATAAATCAAGCGGAACACTATGGCGATAGCCGTACTGCTCCACTTGTGAAAGCAAAATCTGTTGGGTTCTTTTTGGCATCAAGACATATCTTCTTATTGGCACATTGCCAGACAGGACACTGTTACAAAAAACCCCATAAAAGACTAAAACTATAACTAATAAAAACAAAACTGAATCTAAGCCTTTTCAAATATAAAAAAAACTAAACATTGTAACAAGTTGTAAAACCCAATTGAACTAAATAGAATTGAAGATCAGAAGTCAAAACTAATGAAAATTTAAAAACCATTTAAATCTTGGTGTGGGGGTCTGTGTTTAGATATGTTTTTATATTATATTTGACGTTTTTTGTTGCTTGCAACATTTCCAGACTACTGTGCTGCTTTCTGCTCCCCCAATGTGCCCCAGTCCTCATATTTGCAGACCGTTGGGGAAAAGCTTCTGCCTGGAATCGACATACTGTGGACTGGTAAGATTACACTTGGTCCATTCCAGTTCATTTCTTTTTTACTTTCACTGCTATTCAGTCCTTTTTTTTGTTTTTGTTATGGTTACTCAGGTCCGAAAGTTGTGTCCCACAAAATCTCGGTGGAATCCATAGAGGAGGTGACGGCTGTCCTGAAGAGGCCACCTGTCATCTGGGACAATATTCATGCCAATGATTATGATCCTCAGAGGATGTTCCTGGGACCATATAAGGTATTTAGCATCACAATCAGCCTGCTGGCTCTATGAGCTCTTTGTGATCGGCACACCTCTGTCTTCATGAAGGACCGACCCACTGAGCTGATTCCTAAACTGAGAGGAGTGCTCACCAACCCCAACTGTGAGTTTTATCTAAACTTCGTGGCAATTCACACCTTGGCGACATGGTGTAAATCTTCACCTGCTGGAGAGGGTAAGTTCTGTTTTCATTCTTTTTTTTTTTTTTTTAGCCTTTAACTGCTTTTTTTTTCTGCAAACAATGATTGATGATACTGCAGGGATCCCCAACTCGAGTCCTTTAGAGCCGCTCCATGCTCCAACACACCTGAATCTACAGAAAAAAAGGCTCCTCGTCAGGCCTCTTCAGCAAAATAAACCAAAATATGCTTGAAATTCTTGGTAATCAATCAATTCAAGTCAGAAAACCCAGCTCAGAGTTCAGTAGTTATTCCAACCAATTGTTTTATAGATGAGCTTACCATATACTTTTATTAGACTCCATTTCAGCCCACAAACAATACAAAAAACTGTTACAGTTTTTGGGCTAAGTATCTAACTTCATTATACGATACGATGTTTAAATAGTCCAGGGAAACTCAAGTTTTCTCCCTTTAAATGTAGCGGGTGAAACAGAAGTCAGAAAAGGAAAAACAAAAACTTCCTGCCTAAAGTAAAAAAACACAGTGTAGGTACTATCATGCTGTGTGGCTGCTTTACTACATTCAAGGTCTGCAGAATGAGGATAGAGAGTTGGACCTTTGAGCTTGAGATGATCACAAGACTGTTCATCTTTTTCTGTGTGTGGAGAGAAAAAAAGGAAGAGAACTCACAGGATTAACCTGTCACCACATCATCTTTTAATCTTTACTAACAGTTCTGAGTGGTGCATATTATTATCATAGAAAGGTGGGAAGAAAGATGGCAAATAAATCAATTTGTTGAATGTTTGGATGTTAATGTGGGGGAGCTGGAAAAACAGCGGCTGCATCTCTTAAAGTCTAACACGCATCAATTCTTACGTATTCCAATTATTTGTTGAATTAAATGTAATTTTAGAATTACATTTGAAAATAAATGTTTTTTTTTCTAGATGATCAAAAGCAAAAGACTGTAGTTTAACCCTCATTCATCTAATGATTTTGACTTTCTGACTTGTGGTACCAGGCTACAGCGCTCAGGAGGCCCTGAGACTGGCCCTCTTAGACTGGATGCAGGAGTTCACCAGCACCGATCAGCCTGGAGGTAGCGTGACGCTACAGTTCCTTTCATTCATTTAGAATGCAACAAAGAAATGAGGCCAGGTTCTATTCAAAGCTGTGTGCATGCCTGTAGGTGCTTGTGAATCAGCTAGCCTAAAAAAAGAGCTGTCTGATGAGGAGCCCATGCAGACGGACGTGAGTGAGAGCCCCTATGTTCCCGGGCCAGGAGAGAACCCGCTGTATACAGCCGAACCTCTGACTCTGGACGACCTGAACCTGCTCTCAGACCTCTTCTATCTGCCGTACGAGCATGGGCCCACGGCCAGGATGATGCTGGAGGAGCTGGACTGGCTCAAGAACCACCGTCAGGCTGCTGCAGCTCCCACTGAAGAGGTAGGCCGGGGTCGAGGGTTTAAACCCTTCCTAAAGCTGAACACTTTGATTAAGCCGCGTCACTTTTTTCTTTCAGTGGTGCGGCAGGGCGGGCAAGTTTGACGGCATGTGCGAGGGCGTGGTGCAGATGTTCAACCGCCTGTCAAACGTCCCGAACCGCAGAGTTCTGTACGATCTGTACAACTACATCTGTGACATCAAGAGTGGGGTCGGATTGGCACGAGCCTACGTTAAAACACTGGGTGGGAAAACTTTTCCAGCTGGAACAATAATCAGAATACATTAATAAATTAGATTTAAATAAATAAACTTTTATATATATTAAAAAGATTATGTATTTCAATAACGTTTAAAACTCAAATCCCCAAATTAGTTTTCTCTGAAAATGATACTAAGGCCAGTTTAAAAATGGATTTTTACATGAAAAATGTCTGACTTATAAAAGGTATCTCTAGAATAGGCATTAGCGCTCCTTCTACATGCATTATTGACATGAGGTGTTATAGAAGCCCAGCTGCTTTGCTAGCAGCATTCCAGTCATCCAGTATCTTTCATCTTCCCCTTAACACTCCATAGATTCTCTATGGGGTTAACACCATGGCCATTGAATCAGCGTCTGGTAGCTCTGGCAGTGTGGGTGGTTCCTGATGCGGGAAATTAAAGCACCATCTCAAAGGTGGTCCGCACAAAGAACCATCAAATCACTTTTCTGCTGTGGCGTTGTCTGCATTGGCTGTGGTGCTCAGTAAACGCCAGAGCATCGCCAGCAGATGACATCGCACATTAATTCATAACGTAATGGGGAAACATCAAACTGGACTTTAAGAAACATTGATTCTGTCCCTTTTTAGCAATTACCCTTTTAAGTTTCTCCTTATTGGCTCCATGTGTGTTTCCCTTGATTATGTAGAGAAAAAAAACATACAAACTATGTAGTAATATAGTCTAATCTTAAATAATATTCAAATATTCTTAGAAATGTTGTTTCCATCAGCTATAAGCTATGGAATATAATTTACTAATTAATTACTCACGGATAGTGTCTTATTCCTAATTATTGAGATGCAGCTGTGACGAATGCCAGCTTCATTGAACACTGTGTTACTCTGTGATCTGTTTACCCATTTATAAGCTGTTTATAATATTATGCGTTTGTTTCCACAGGAGGTCAGAATCAACCCTCAGCCCAGTTGCTGAATGACGATCCTGAACCTTGGGGCTTCCGGGGAGGCCTCTCTGGGGAATTCCAGGTAAACAAACCATATCAGCGATTTCTTCCAAAGTTCTAGTTGGTGAAAGCTCAAGACTTGTAGTAAACAGGCTAAAACTGTAGAGTTAATAGGCTGTTTGTTTTCAGAGGATGCTGCCAGGACATGGAAACAGGGACCTGTTCAAACACCCTCCAATGACAGCAGTTTACTGCATTCGCCCTTACTGCACCGAGGACAAGGTTAGAGTCCTCAATGAGTCACTGTATGGGTGATATTCAGTGATACAGAATAGAAAAACCCTTTATTGTCCCAGATTAGAGAAATTCTGGTGTTATATATGATTTACAATAAAGGTGTTTTCTGCTAGGTTGAGGTGCAGAAGATCTTTAAGGAGATGCAGACAGAGGGTGACGTCCGCCTGCAGCCTAAACTAATCAGTGACGGGTAAGAAAGGTTGCACTGTGAAAGCAGGGAACTTCTTATTTGTCCCTCACTGGCCTCCTTAGGGTGTAAAAGGTAACATTAGAAGGAACCAAAGATGAATGCAGAATAGCAAATTATTCTAATCCATTTTATATTTCTTATCATGAATCCCTACAATAAAACATCACTTAGAAGGGCTTAGTTCCAAAGATTCCTGATGTTATTGGGATTTTGATGGAAACCTCCAGATCATTTTTATAGTTTTATTGACACGATTTTTCCAACTTTCCAATTCACAGTCTTCAGGTTAATGGCTTTAGTAATTATTAGTTTCCAGGTCCAAAATTATAAACTATGCACAGGAAAACATCAAAGAAATAATAGAAGGTACCTGAAAGTTTCTAACAACATAACAGATCCTTCATATACATGGTTGGTTTTTAGTTTTTTTATTTAATGTTTTTCTGGTCCGTAACATTGGGTTATTCCTATCTAGTGCTTTCAAGGATTTAACTGTTATTTTAGAAATGTTATAACCAGAGAGCATTTGACTGGTCCTCAGCAATGAGTTCTTCTGCTGTAACGTTTCTTCCTAATGTCCTCTCTGCAGCCTGTCATCATGTGAAATCCCCCCCTCCCCACAGTGTGCTCTTGTTGTTGAGGATGACTTTGGGGTTTGTGGATATGCGCTGGCACTCACTGACGCCAAACAAGCTGCAGGCTCTGATCAGGTGATCACAACGAAGGTCTCCGTTTCTATAACGGGTAGAGATGTTGAATGTAACATGGTCGACTAAATCTGCTCTTGTGGTTCCAGAGGCCAGGAAATGACCCATTATTGAAGGATTACCCTTCCCTGGTGGTAGTCCAGGTGCTCCCTCGGGTCACTGATCCATCCCCAGCTAAACGTATGATTTCTCAGCTGTTGTCCTCCCTCAGGAACAGTGGTAAGTCGGCTTGATTCAGCTGGGTTAAACTCAGACCTTTTGGGTCTATGGGTTTGCCACAAGGGGGAGCTGTTGAGTTATGTTCCTGCTGTCCATAATTTACCTTAAATTTTAAGATAAAACTGCCTAAAAGTTTCCCTTTTATAAAAAGTCTTTGTACCCGACCAAAGACAGATCTGTTTGACTTTCAGGCTCCAGAGGAGTTTTCTGTGAGCTGAGGCAGAGCGACCGGAGGATGCTCGACTTTTTCTCTAAACTGGGCTCCTTTAAACACATTCCCATGGACAAGAGCCTGTCTCAGGATGCTGTTTTCATGGCAACACAGCTCTAGTAGCATGAAAGCATTTGGGATGATGATAAACTACTAAAATCTCTCATGTATTAGCACATTGGAATAGATTTTGTTGTATTTTAAACCTGTAAGGTGTACGGTTGCTTTTTCAATAAATGGGAAACCTCTGAGTACTTTTTGTTTCTAAGTTTATATGGCACATTTATAGAGATAACACAAGTACAGGATAATCACAGGATTTATTTTGTCTTTTAGACAATACAAAGGGAATATATTAAGAATTCATCTTTGATTTAATAGCTTTTTAATTTGTTCATTGGCTTTAGAGGCATAAAAACTTAGTTCAGAAAAATGCTGCAGTCGATTTACAAGGATCAGTAAAGACACACAGCCGGCTTCATATGGTGTAACTGCTTCTAGTTGCCATTCTGGCTGTAATCAGTCTGCTCCATGCAGCACTGATCACTGGAGTCATTGCATCAGTAAAAATGGACAAATCTCAGTGTTGCTCTGCAGTAAAACTGAATTAAACTAGATATTAATGACCTTCTGTTTCCCCATTTATTAACCTGAGTGATCAGCTAAGAAACGCTGAACAGAAAAAGATATCCCATATGCAGTATTTGCACAGCTTTTGATTATGAAAACCCTGTTTAAGGAGAAAGTGTCTTTGCTGCTTCAAAGTTTTTTAAATAGAGAAATAGCTATTATATGAAAAACAAAGCATGGTCTGAATTAAAAAGCAAAAAGATACACATTGCACAGAAACGATGGAATGTGAAAGAAAAATTCCAGTCAAATGTCAACATCATCCTAAGCAGGATCTGTTGTACTAATTTGGGGCTTTTAAGGATTTAGTCAAACTAGTACACTGGGAATATAGTTTAACACAATAACTGGGTGTATACATTTTAATTTACCCTACATGGTGTTTGATATGAAAACCATTCTGGAAAACGAACAAGGAGCACGGTGGCAGCAGCAGCATCCTGTGGTCTCCAGACGGGGTGGTACTGTTGCAATGTATAAGGGTAAATTAAGAACTACTGCTGTCTATACTTCTAAAAATAAAACAAAGCGTTTTAGTAAATCAAATTGGACGATTCATCCATCCCAAAGACAACTATTGTGTTTATCAGTAAATAAGAATCTTATTTGGCACCTAATGAAAGAGAAAATAATTTAGTGATTCCAGAGGATAGTTTCAGCAAGTTTAAACAAACACTAGAAAATTGCCCCTGCTCCCTGTGTTATCAGTCTCTGTTTAAATACTGCTTCAAAAAACACACTTAAGTTTTATATTTGGTATCATTTATGTAGAGTTTTGCCCTTTTTGGTCGTAGCCTCTACTCCGGTATCTTCTCTTCGACTTAAAAACGAAAGCATCAAGCAGCACCAATATGGCGCAGGTCTGACCGTTCACCTGTGACCTCTCCCATATAAAACGTTTCACGAATGGATAAAACAATCTGTTCATTAAAGAGCACTTTTAAATGAACTCCAGGCCTTCATACTTTACATCTCCAATCTTGGTCTCAGGCATTAGAAGCTGCCCATCTAGTGTAAAGGCAATGATGTATGTGGCGATCCTGCCGCCATCCTCCTCTGACTTCAGAGCCAGGATGACCTGGTCATCTGTGTCAGGAACAAATTTAAATGAGGAGAAGCCATGAGTAGGGTTTAACGGCCCGACGCGCCGCAGGGTCACGTGTCTGAAGTCCGCAGGGCAGGACAGGAGAAGGTTGGTGGCTCGACGCTCGTCAGCTGCCTCGTCGTAGCGTTCGTGGCTGGCACGGCGAGGTAGGAAGAACCACCGCTGGAGACGTTCGCTCCAAGCTGCTGATTCATGGATGAGGTAACCTATCGGACACACAATATGTTTATAAATTTAGATAAATAACCTAATGTGCACTTAACTAATTACAATGACAAAACTTTGCCTCCTATTCTTTTAATATATGGGGTGAGATAATAGTTTCCAAAAGGAGAGAAACATCTATCGTTTGATCCAAACTCATCAGATTTATAGTAGTTACTTTCCCAGTTAAATCAGTTATGTTAAATGAATCTACAAAAATGTATTTTTTCACTTCATAACAGAGATGGAGCCAAAAGAAGGAGCAAAAAGATCATAATTGGTGTAAATGTATTTTGCTCTGAATAAATTTAAGAAGCTTTAATCTCGTTGACATTTCAAGCCCAGAAATTAAATGTTGTCGTGAACATAAATGAGTGGACAGGCTGCAGGGTGCAAAATGGTGAAGACATTTTGCATTGGAAATTGCAGTCTGAATAGTGCTGGCAGTAAGGAAGAAGGTAGGAAGAGGAAGCAGGGTGCTTCTTGTTGATAGTTTATTTAGCACAGGGACCCAATTATGTTCCTATTGGCCGCATAACAGCTTTAGGGCTACCCACAATCCTTTGCGTACCAGGATGTATAAGCACAGCTCACCTCATGGAGTTTTACAGAAACATTATTTCTTTAGATGTACTCTGTGTGTTTGGGTTCCTATAACAGAGAGCTTGAGAGCTGACATTCACTTGCCTTTTGAAAAAGAACGTCAAAAACTGACCCTCTTAGACACAGCCCTTCTTGATTTACATAATGGGGCAGAAACGTATGTAGAAATTTTAAAACAACAGGCATAAATAAATAGCATTGAAGAAATAAATAGGGTAAAAACAATACAGGATATATAGGATAGATATTTAGAAAGGAAGAATAAAATAGAAAAAAATATTACATGCACAAAAATTAAGAACTTAAAAAATAAGTAATTATTAAAGTTGAAGATTATAACAGACAATAATGAAAAAGGTCATTATTGCAAAGGCAAATAAATAAATAAGCTAATTAAGAGATATATACACTGTATCATTTAATTTCTACCAACATTTATTTGTTTATTTTATTTTTGGGGGGCAATTAATTGTATGCTTATTTATTTATTGAGCATTTATTTACTTCTGTATTCATTTTTAAATATGGAAGAGCTGGTCCTCCTTATCACCTTTATTCCAATCTTTATACTCATGAGTGTAGTTTTTGTTCACTTTACAATAAAAAAAGAAATAAAAAGAAACAGTACTGAAAAGTTCATATTCATTTTTGCTTCCTGCTTTGTGTGTTGCTAAGCGACAGAGCATACGTGGGGTGAAAACTGCGGAAGGATGGACCTGTTTAAATTCACAGCCAAAACTCTTCCGGTCTTATTTTCAAGGACTTCGAAGGATCCAGTCCACATAGACCGGGTCCTTGGAGGATGCAGCGTTAAAATGGAACACACCCAAAGTGATAACATTTTGGAAAGTAATATGCATCCTTCCACTAACTGGTTTCTATTAAATAGGGCTTTTTTTTTTACCCAGTGTTTCACAGCTCTGATTATGGTGACCTCCTGGCCATCATGTTTGAAATGTTTCTCTGCTGTGGCACAGCTAAAGCTAATGAATGGAGCATATCATACTTAAAAACAACATTCCATATTTAAGAAGTAAAATTCTAAATAATACAGGTTTCAACTAGCATTTAGCATTAATCAAAACAACAATAAAAAGATTCTTTACTAGAACTTTTTTGCTAAATGTGGTGTTCTTAATTTGAGGTCATATGCTTTTTAGTCTTCGCATGCACCCTTTGGATGGTATTAACAAACGACCACAGGCAGCTGGATAATTATTATTTTACTTATTATTTCCTTTAATAATTTAGATGTTCCTTTTCTTTGATCTTTGTGAGTCTGAATGTGCAATAAATAAAACAATCAGAATGAACCAGTCTAAATAAAGTGACGGTTTTGATCTTGTTAATCTGCCTGTTTTTGTGGTTTTGAGGCTTTTAAATTAATATAATAAAACTTGTCCACTTCATCTACAAATTTAAAAAACACATATGCACACAAATAGTAAAACTATGCATGCAGTCAAGATTAGGATGAATACATTAATACGAGCTGACAGAGATGAAATCATTCTGTCATACTGCAGTAAATCTGTTAAAGATGTAAAGTTAATGGATAAATTGGGAGATCATGTTTCTGTTCCTTAAATAAAATGAATTCACTCATGGCCATGCGTTCATGAGATACTGAATAAAAACAAAGTGTTGCTCAGCACCTGGTGGTTTGATCCCTGCAGCTTTCCGCAGAGCGCTGTAATAAGGCACCCAGTTCTGATGCTCCACGCCGCCCCTGTAGTCGATCACTTTCACCCACTCCGGGTTGTTGTTGACGAATTCCCCGGATGTCGTAGTCCACTCCTTCCCCAGACCTCCAACAAACAGGTGCTCATCCTTCACTGCCAGCCACTCTGCCTTGAACCCTGCACAAAAAATGAAGAATTAAATGGGATAAAGAATAATTCCTTGGAAAACCATTAGTAGCTCTTAAACGTTTCATTTTAAGCACAGATTTAAAAGTGCTTTGGGAGTTTGGCTGGCAGAACACAAAGGAGAGCACAAATATTCATTGTGAGGAAAATGACGCCTGGTTTTCAGGGTTTTTAAGTAATAATAATTTGAAAGATGACGTATTCAGCCTCCTGTACTCTGATGCACCTAAATAAAATCCTGTGCAACCAACAGCCTGTAATGTCACTAAATAGAGTCTGCTTGTGTTTGATTTAATCTCGGTATAAAAACAGCTGTTCTTTGGCTTTAGAAGTCTGTCAGATAACATTACTGAACAAAAATCCTCAGGGAGAACGAGGGGCACAGCAGACTGGAAAGAGAGAGAGTTGTGGAGACATTTGAAGAAGGGTAAGGTTATTAAACCATATCTCTGCGTTTGAACATCCCACACAGCTCTGTTCAATCCATCACCTGGAAACCAGGCCTGAAGAAAACACAGTAATTCGCGTGAAGTAACAGATCAGACAGGGAAGATCATTATTCCAAAAAGCAGGCAAAAGATGTGTGTTAGTGTTGGAGGAGCTGTAGAGATCCACAGCTCAGGTGGAAGTATCTAATGCCAGGTCGGCTATTAGTCCGAAAATTCGAATTTTCCGAATTCTATATTCCGAAAATGTAACCTTTATGGAAGCAAGAGGAAAACTAACACTGTGTATCACCCCATATAGAGGCTAAACCTACTGCTAAACATTGAAAGTGCTTTCTGTTCCGCAATCTTAAAGGTAAAGTGGAGGATTTTTTACAAATCTTTGAAAAGACCCGCCCTCTCCACTAAAAAAAATAATAAATAAATGCACATGCACAACCCTGTAACCGCTCCTGAGAGGTAATGTCTATTAAACGCGTGTGAGAGCATGTATGAGCCCATTTCTCCTTGTTGCTGTTTGCATCACTCATATAAGCTTACTTTCCAAAAGAAGATTTGCAATTTTTCCACTATGTCAGACTCACCACCGTCTTATGCCAAGAACGACCTCCCATCTGGAACACCGATGAGAAAACTGATTGAAATATGAATGAAAAAGGGAACTTTTAAACAAATTTGTAATGTTTTGTCAGAACTGATATAGAATTATGTTGATAGCAAAAGCTGCTAATCCTATCCACTGAGCAGAGAATATATTCATCGGACACTGACTGTAGCGCATCAACTAAAACAGGTCTCCACACAAAAATCATATTCATTCGAATTTATCTGTCCACCAAAAGTCTAAATTTTCGGTCATCCATGCATAAGAAATATGAAAACATTAAGAATATGTTAAAAAGTTTCCTTTTTCGTTCATATTTCAATCCGTTTTCTCATCAGTGTGCGGAAGGGGAGGTCATTCTTGACAGCCCGGTACTTCTCATCATAGGATTAGGTAAACACCAATGGTAGACGAGCACGTAGGATGGCCTTATGTAAACATATCACCAGAGGGATTGATAATTAGGAGGACCACTTATTTGTATGATCCACCTGGAAAAAGAACATCCTCCACTATACCTTTAATATCCAACATAAATCGATTTAAATTACAAAGTGTAAATGTAACATGTAGTGGTACAGACACCAATACACTATTCACTACTTTGGCAGCTTCCTAGTAAGACAATGCTTTTCTTTGGCAGAGGTAAGAAAGCTACTAGGAGTTACAGGGAGGAAGTATGGATCTAAATACAGAGTTGGAACAATGGAACAGTTCAGAACAAGCCATGTATGTGTCACATTGGCCACATCCAGGCCTAAATCCTGGCTTTGTAGAACCAGCCACTACCCCAACTTAGTCTCTTTTACTTTCCTTGACAATTAAGCACTAAATTTGATTGTTCTGCTACGTAAAACGCAAAATAAATGCATGGAAGCATGAGAGAGTAATCAGACAAATTGTAAAAAAAGTTCAAGAGGTTAAAAACACAGCCGCAAGGTATTGTACAGCTTTCAAAAAGTTCTTGGTTGGCTGTAAAGCTTTTGTTTCTCCTTTTAAAGAAAGGGTCAGCCATCTTTTAGACCCCACGGCCTAAACACTGACCTTTAGGGACGGAGCCATCGCCGTCAGGTAGAATCACCCAGGGAACGGCTCTGCTTCCCTCAATCCTGTACACCACACCTGTGCGGTCATCCACACTGTACAGGTGACCATTAAAGGCCACCAGCTCAGACAGCTCCATTCCTGCAGGTACAGCATTGCATCAAACATCAATAACACAGAGGAAACAGTTGAAACATATCTAAGAGCAGGATGCAACCAGATACCTCGTCCTTTCTCAGCCAGACTGCTCTCTAAAGTGATTGTGTCTGCGTCCCACTCCACCTCCACTCTGTCTGCGCTCTCTGAAATGGTCACATAGCCTCTCTTCATGTAGCTGAACCACGTCTGACCCTTGGAGCTTCGGGATGCCACGTCCAGGTCTGCGATCACTCCTATACGGTAGCGAATACCATGCTGCGTCCTCTCCGGAGGACTCAGCGGGTATGTGTCATTGTAGGGCTTTCCGCTCTTCAGACGCCAAGCAAGAAGTCTCTGAGATCCTACATCCGACTCTCCCCCTCTGTGCGTAAGAAAACTACCTTTGATTGGTGTGTTTGTGTTCCCTACTGTCCGGTGCAGATATAACATGAGCACTAAAGCCAGGAGGCTGGTCACAAATATTGCTCTCCATCTTGGCTGAAAGCGCAGGTCCCAGGCAGCAGCCTGTGTCATGGACGCCAAGGCCAGGGGGAGGCCTCGCACAACGAAACCAAAGGAGTTCATGGACGTGCCGTGTTCATCCCAGAGCCGGTTGTGGGCTGCGGTTGAAAACTACGACCGCCTGGGGAAGAACAAGAACAAGAGGAACATCAGCACAGGGGTCTGCAGGTACTGGATGGTAACATAAAATCTAGAAATTAGGTGAAAACCAGTGAGGTTGCTGGAGCGTAAGAAGACCTTCATAGCAGCTTGAGAAGAATGAACACTGGGTGGAGGACAAGCTGCTAAAATGGGCTTTTGTTCCCATTGTTCCTTCTTCACAGCAGAGCTTTGTTTGACTGAGCAGACCGCATGCTGCGTAGGAGATGAGCAAACACGGACCTAGCAGTCAGACTTCTCATTCAACAGGAAGGATGCAAAGAAAAACGTCAGCGATACCATTATCACCCCTGATAAACAGGAGCATAAATATTCAACAATCTAAAGCTTTTATCCAGTACATTAATTTAGTAAATTATTATAATTTACGTTTAGAAAACATATTTAATAAAATCCCCAGTAGGACAACCATTAACCTTTCTGATGGGAGTATTCTGTTTTTTAAAGCCTTTAGCAAATAGCACTTCAACATTTCACAACATTAGAGCCAACAACAGTGAGAGGGTTAGATGTATTCACACCGTTCCCATCCAGAGTCCTAGGTCTCCTATTCAGCTTTACCTCACAACCTATCTATAGTATCAGGGGACTGAGATGGAAATTAAAAGAGGTTCATATTTTGTGCCTGTTGAACCTTTTTTATATTGTTTTGGCTCATTATTCTGCTGAACCATATTAGTGAGTAGGCACCAAATCAAATTTGAGTTCTTGAAGCCATCAGAATCAGAAATACTTTAATAATCCCAGAGGGAAATTACTTCAAGACAAGAAAAAAATTTATATTTCAGCTGCCTTTGGAGGACAAAGAAGCCCACAGCATCACAGGCCATTCACCCTTATGTATGACAGGAGTGACTAAACTGTTAAGGGCCAAAAACTTCAATGCCTACTATATGGGTCTGGCTAAAGTAGGTTTTGAAAAGGACCATGTTTGTAATGGAAGGACAGACAAAGCTTTTCCCAGGATGCTTTTTACAATGAAGAAAAAACAAAACAAAACATTTGGCATATTGTTAGGGTCTAATGGTTGTTAAAGGGTGCAATTTGTAATTGGAAGGGTTTCTGAACTGCAAATCATTTTTACAAATAAGATAAACGTTGCAGCCACTACATGGTTGTTACTATATCCTGTAAAACACACTGGTTACAAAATAAATACAATGTCTTCAGGCCAAAGGGAAATACTGTATGCTTAGGTAGTTGTAACGCAACTTATAAGTCCTTTTGATAATTTTGTAATCCAGCTGCTACTTTGCAGACTGGCATCACCTGCAAAAGATAGTGACAGGAGCTGAGGAAGTAATCAGACCGGCCCAAGAAGACTGTCCAGGCTGTTTTGCAGAGCAGCTAAACGTCCCATGAACCCATGAACTGCTGCAGTCAGGTAAATAGCACCAAATATGAGATGTGTTGTTGATCTCGCACGGTGTTAAATATTATTCTTTTAAATATCGCTATGTGTTTTTCTGTAAGCTTTCTTGTGTCTGTTGCATCTGTATTTCTCACAATGGAACAATAAAGTTGTTTATATTCAATTCCAAACCATCCACAGGAAAACGAGAACACAGAACCACAGCTTTCTGTCTTAAAAAATGAAAAGGCTGAACTACCATCAAGGTTATAAACTGCATGTCATCAGCAGAGACCAGAGAAATGTTATCGCATCTGTTGTATGTTGTCAGGTATGCAATTTAATTAATAGATTTACTTTTCCTGTTTCTCCATTGAGGGAGCATTTACTAAAGTTATTCAGTTAATCTTCTTTTTATTACAAAAAATTATTAGTCTATGTGAGGAAGATTAAACAAGGCTGACAGGTAACCAGATGCGCTACTTTTTGAAATATGAGTTCTCTGTTTTGAGTCAACGTGACCCTTCATCTGAGGGTGACAACAAACAGAAAAACAAGTCTCAGCCTTAAGTACAGGCTGACTTTTGTTTGCTTAACTGAATTAAATCTCGCATCGCTGTTTCGATATAAATAATGCAATCAAAGTAGAGTAGTAATCTTTATAAGACAACTTAAACAAAAACAAAAAATAGTTTATATTTGATGACTCTTCTACAAGATGAAAACACCAAAGGCTTCACAAAAGTAATTGCCAAGTTTTTTTTCAGCTAGAGTAGATAATCTTACATTGAGTGATTCCCCCGGTGCGTCTTAAGTTGCTTTTTGAACACATTCACTCCCGTCGACTCTTTAAGCCATGCAGGGAAAACTTGGCAGAGCATAAAAAAGAGTTCATTGTCGACACTGAATAAACCGTCCCATACGATCCACCCCTCTGCACCACAGGAGCAAACAGGAAATAGTTCTACTGCATTTAAAAATTTAAGCTATTCACCCTTCCTTTGCCATCCTCTGCCCTGAACAGGCTGCTACCTTCATGTCGTTCTGCTCTGAACACGTCCCTCGCTTATCCAGCCCCCTGTACCCACATGAATACTTGATCACTGCTCTGCTCTCCTGCACACCATCTCAAATGTCTCCCATTTCTGCACAGCCAAAAACGACTTGGTCTCTTAATAATGAATTTGGAACAAGAGGACTAGATTCTTAAAGGTTTCTTATTCCACTCTGCTTGAAGTGTTAGGTCTGCCAAAAAGAGAAGTTCCAAAACATTAAAACTAAAAGAGTCATCTGAAGCTAGGGGCATTCATATTTATCAAATAATAACAGTGTTATGAAGGGCTGTATAGAGATAAGTTCCAACAATTTCCATTCCCAGCTCCACAGCAGACAGAGACTAATGTTTAAATTACCTGATTAGGTGAACGGGGTGAAGGAAAACTAGCAGGGATTTTACTTTTGAAGCTGGATTTATGCCTGACTCACAGAGCCATGATAACCAGTGTTTCATTGCATTGCCCTGGTAGAACAGGTTCCAATCATTGAGAAACTACAGGTTTTATACTGAGACTGTATTTTAATCCAATAAACACACGTACGTAAAATGATTTTTAAGCATTTCTATTGTGTTTTCTTAAAGCAAGTATATGTTGGCATCTATATCAGACAGAGGAGATACAAACTAATGGATCCCCAAGTGTTTATAAGGGTACAGAGGAGCAGTCAGCACTGAGCTCACAGGGAAACCTTTAAGAGAAAGATGGCTGATTTAGGAGGATGATCTACATCATTCTATGCTTTATACCACCTGTTCCGATTCCAGCTTCCAGAGTAATGTTGGCAGATCGGTTTAAAAAAAGTTTCTGTTGTGTTTAGATCCAACTTCCGCTCCAACTCTTCTTCATCGGTGGGATATTACGTAACAGGGAACCAAACGGCTGTTTAACTCTATCCGTCAGTCATTTATAAACTTTAGCAGCATATAAGACTGAGTTAGCCGTTTATGATCAATATAGTCAAGCTCCACAATCTTTAGCCCAAACATTTGAAAAGTCCGAGTGTTTAACCGCGGACAGAAAGTTATCTGAGAGCTAGCTGTAGGACACGTCACAGACTTATTAGCCGCGCGGCTAATAGCTGCTAGCGACATTAGCTTGTCAACGTTTACATTTTCCGATGTAAAGTCCTTACCAACCTGCTCACTAGTAGACAGGTTAACCCTGTTCATGGTATCCTCACCTGGTCTCTAGGCTCTTCACATCCGCCCTGTTGGCCATGTCTGTCTGTCTGTCTGTCTTGTCTCCTGCTGCTCAGGACTCCCTGCTGATCTTGTCACCTCCCTCAGACATTAACGCGATTAAAAAACATGAGGACCAAACAGGGTTACTAACTTTCTAGACAAGAGGGGCAAGCAGTAGTAGTAGCGGTCTTGTGCGAAATTCTGTTTCCCCGTGAAAATCTGTTCCCCCTGTGTCGGGAAACGGGTCATTCTCAGAAAAATATCCTAAGAAGTCATTTGGGTATATATATATAATGCAGTTTTAGCGTCTTTTTAACCGTGTCATGCATTTATAAAAATCTTGGTTAAATATTAAGTTTGCAATTCAAATTTATATTTTTTAATACATATTTAGCTCCAAACTATATTTAGCTCCCCTCTAAAATATATATATTTTATATATCCTCCTAAATCTAAAATATATATATTTTAGAGGGTTTTAGCATTTTTAACTGTGTCATTTATTTATAAAAATCTTAAATATTTAGTTTGGAAATATTTTGTTTCTTAAATAGATATTTAGCTCCTAACAATTTATTTAATCAACAAAGTAAGATTTTTTTATAAATGAATGACTGACATAGTGAAAAAATGACTTGGAAAAAATAACCCCCCAAATTTATTGATATATATATTTACATACATACATACATACATACATACATACATACATGCTTAACAATAGACAGTAGTTAATAACAAGACCATTTACTCTATCTCCCAGTTCAAGGAATTTATAGCTGAATGTTTATTTAATTATCTAAAGTAAAAATTAAATGTAGAAATGCACATTTGAAACACATGTTAATTCACTCAAATTCGCCTTTTTTTCTGTCCAAAAATGTTTGGTTCAGTAGAAATTCGTGCACTATTTTAAGCGTGTTATATTGACTAATATTACCCAATTTTTTATTTTTTTTTTGCTTATTTGTCAGAATTTATTGAGGAGTTTCATTTCACGTCGGGTTGGCTTCAAGAATGTGATGTGTAAACTTTAAACTTAAGATGTCATTATTAAAAGGGTCGTAGAAAACAAATCGAGTTTACATGGTAATAGATGAATAATGATAGTTCAGTGGGTGAAATGGATGTAGAAAAGTTCAAACCCCATTGACACCTCCTTTCTCTGCAAATCTCACAATTCTAAACTTCCACCATAAAACAGGCGAATCCATATGAAACCCCGAATTGACGTCAATTCAGGATGTTGCCTTATTTGGTTCTAGCCTGTACTTTTCTTACACCCCAAAATTGACATACAGACCAGCCCACTGGCTCACTGGCCCAAGAACATGAATAGAGGTAGATCTCCCAGACGAAAGGAGAAAAAAAAAAAAAAAAAAAAAAAGAGGACATCTGGTCACTCTACCATATCAACAATTAGATGTTTCAGTGAGTGAGTGCTTGTTGCTATGATGCATCTTTGCTCAGCAGCTTCGCTCGTTGTAAACCAACCAATCAGTGCACAGCTCATCTAAATATTCATGAGCATACCATATAAGGAAGAAAACCTGTTGTTTCATTCTAGGGCTTTTAGCCAGGCTTGCATTAGGACTCATAGAACAGCAAATATGCCATTTCCAGCCCAACCAATGTTACACACCCTATTCAGAGACCTCAGGGACCAGCACCAAATACCCTATAGAATCATTCCATGGAATGGGCCAAAATACCAGCAACAGTGTGTGAAAACCTTGTGAAGACTTACAGGAAACGTTTGATCTCTGTCATTGCCAACAAAGGGTATATAACAAAGTATTGAGATGAACTTTTGTTATTGACCAAATACTTATTTTCCACCACATTTTGCAAATAAATTCTTTAAAAAATCAGACGATGTGATTTTCTGGATTTTTTTTTCTCATTTTGTCTCTCATAGTTGAGGTATATCTATGATGAAGATTACCGGCCTCTCTCATCTTTTTAAGTGGGAGAACTTGCACTATTGGTGGCTGACTAAATACTTTTTTGCCCCACTGTATGTAAAGACCCGAATGCTACAGGTCAGTGACTTAACACAACGTTTTGGTTTCCTCACCTGGAAAAAGTCTCAGCTGCATGCTTGAATATTAAGAACTCTAAAAATAAGATCAAGGGAAGTAGTATTAAATCCTGTATAGTCTAAGATGTTTGATTTCAGAAACAAGCAGTTTTTTTTTTGTTCCTGTGGGTTTTCAAATATTTTAAACCAACAGAACACACTGTATAATATCTATGTGCAAATATGATCCTCCTGTGTTTAAATGTTCATATCCATGGAAATGCAATCTGCTTAGCCGATAGTTACACATGGCTCATTTCACTGCAGTTATTTTCACCACAGAAAGAACACATTTTTTAACCAGATTTTTACAGGAACAAACTTTGATAAGGAGTACAGCCCATCTTAATGGGGAGGGGGATCGATCTTGAAACAAGATGAATGGCTCATAAGCTCACACTGCTCATTAACTTTTAAACGTAAATGAGCAGCTTATGGTTTTACGAAACAATAAGACTACAAGAAGAAATATTTTTTTTGTGAATTTAAATATTTATTTTCTTTTTTATATCCTACAATGATAAACATTGTGAAAATTTGTCTGCAATAACAGAATATGTAGTGTAAACTAAAGTTTCACTGTTACTGGTTAACTTCATTTCAGTTTCAAAGCTTACTTTTTGGAAATGAAAATTCTTACACTTTACCAGGATTAAGTTCATATATACACCCGTATGTCTCATCATCTATCATCGGGATTCTCTGGGTGAGATCTCAGTGTAGAGATAGATATTATGGTGACACTTCTCTCAGATTAAACAAGTTTCTGCTCTTCAGACCCAACTTAACACACTGAAGATTGTCACACAAAAAAGGAAAAAGCAAAAACAAAAACGCCAACAGTCAGACCAGCTTGGAGATAAGCCATCAGTAACAATCTTCTCAAAAACATAAAATGTGTGTTGGCCGTGCCTCCTAAAAATAACACAATGGGCTACAGTCAACTGGTGTTTTAAACATCCAAAGCTAAGGACTTCTTTCAAAGCAGCTGATGAAGAATATTTGCAATAAATAATCTAAATGAAGCCATCAGATTAACTAATGTCATCTGGATTGATTTCAAAGGACAAGAAGAACATTTACTACAGTGAAAACCTGAAACAATGCATATTTTCTCAGACGAATCAGAGGTCAGGTTAACTCTTCAGCTTTTCCCCATCATCTTCAGGAGAAGCTGCAGAGAAAACAAAGTAATGACAGAAGGAGTTAAATAGGAAAAATACGACTAAAGCTTTCTGATTTGTCAGACAGAATGATGAATCTCCTTTATTAAACAAAAAAATATTTACTTTTATACTTCTGAATAGCGTAAAGTACAGCTCCAATGTTCTTTATACCCCCCTGTCAATCAGTTAAAACTTTCTTTCAATCTTAAAGTATTTACCTTACATTTAAAAACACTAAATATGGTAGAAAACCAACAATGTTCATCCCATTTAACGCACCATCCTAAAAAATGTTTGCTGCAAAAGACTTCCTTCCGTTTTGATCAGTGTTTCCCAACCGGGGGTACTGTACCTGTACCCCTGGTGGTCTGCGAGTACATTGCAAGGCGTACATGAAAATATTTTATTTCTTAGGTAATAACATAGAATAAGGCTGGGGTCTGCTTTATTTTGTGTGGAACCAATTGAAAAATTAAACAAGCTTCTACCAACCAAACAGCACGTTTTTTTTTATATGTTTGAGTTCACCAAAACCAAGCAGACGAACAGACTGGATGTAGAGAACAGCCTGGGATCAGCAGTTTTTCACACTGAGCTATCAGAGCTCATCAAACAAGCTCCTGTGTCCTGGTGAAAACAAACTAAAACTAATTAAATCAGTCTGACTTTAAGGTTTGTTTTCTTTATTTTGCTCTCAATTCCTCATGTTTAAATATGATCATAAGGGAGATACTCAGAGGAGCTCTACTTTTATAAAGGCAGATTTATAGTATAATTCTATATTGTATTTAATTTGATTCTTTACGAACTTCTTGGCAACATAATTAGATTGAAAAGATTAAAATGCCAAAGAATTAAATGCTCAAGTTAAAAAAATTAAACAATATACTTTTTATTTTATAATCGGTTATTGTACTTTTGGACAATCATCAATACTTTTGACTGAGAGGGACTCATAGTAAGACAAAATGCCCAAAGGACAAGTCTAAAAAGGTTGGGAAACACTGATTTAGAGAACAACCTTAAGCATTCCAGCAGCGCTATGGCTGAATGATTAAAAGTATTTTCTTATGTGTTAAACTGGCCTTATTAAAGCCCATACTTAGGTAAACCAGGAATGCCTGTTTAGACCAATTGGATAAGATTTTTAAACACTATGAATCACTGTGTGCTATTCGTTATTGAACCGTCAGTTAACATCTCAATAAAACATGATGAAGCCTTTGGATGTTAAACCTGAAAGTCTGAAGACATGCCAATGATTCAACTTGTTTCAGAATATAAAGACATGAGAGTAGAAGCACTAAGATCAGTCTGAAATCGAGGCTTGTAGAAAAATAACAAGGTCCTCAGAGTAACAATTACTCCAGAAGTTTAATCCAAAACGGCCTGGTATTCTGCCCATGCCTGAGACATCCAGCGTTACATCACATAATCCTGCCTTTGTTATTAGGGATGCTTGACCTGCCTCTCATACACTGGTATTTTACTAACTCGGGTCTTAAAATAGTCAAGCTGCTCATTTGGGGCCAGTAAAATACTACTGCAGTGTAGTGTGACTGAAAAAATAGTTTAAAGCTAATTTCTGTTCAGATTAATCATTGACACCAACACAATGTTTAGAAATGCTAAGAAAAAATGATGATTGTGGGTAAAAGGCTGTACCTTTGTTAGGTGATAGTCTCCATCTACCAGCTGCTCTATGATATTAAAATGGTCTGTGTTTGCTACATCCTCCATTGTGACATTCAGTCCCGCTTCTTCCAGAGTCTTAAAACACACAAAGGTAAGTTAGTGAGACGAGCAATCATGTCTGGTTTCATTTTTGAATGGGAACTTAATATTTTTTTAATATAGAAAGATCTACTTAATTAGTAAAATGTGTGACTACTAACTTTGTAGTATTCCTCTGACTGCTTGCGAAACTCCGGGGAATCGTTCTGAGCGACAGCCACAACGATCTGACAGCTGGAGGAGGACTGTTTGAGCTGAGGAACCAGCCTGCTTGGGCTGTTTCGCACCGCCACCTCCCTGCAGACACAAAGGAGTGAGGCTCTGAATGGCACCAACAGAGAGCAACAACAGAGACCACATCTTCCAGCACAGGGTTCTCTACATCACAGTGTATCACATTAACAGCCAAGATCAGGAAATTAATCACAGCAGGGACTCAAAACATCAAAAAATGAGATTAATGTTTTCTTCCTCTAATTGAATACACTTTAAAATGTTAGGAATACAGCTAGCATTTAATTTTAAAAAGTAATTTTTTTTTATTTCTCCCTAATAAAACACAATACAAATAAAATTTTCCCCAAAATTGATTTTTTGTGAAACTCCCTGTTATAGTTTGCCATGAGTTGAGGCTAAATTTAGCGATAAAAACAGGATCAAAGATATGCTGTTTTAAATTGTTTGAATAATGACCCCAGATGCATCACAGATAGAACTAGGGCTGCATCTAACAATTATTTTGATTTTTTTTTTCAATTAATCGACTAATAATGGGATAGCCAAAGATTCTTTAAAGTAGATTTCTTATTAATTTCTTAAAGTACCTCAAGTCTGAAATTGATTAAAGCTGCTTAGACTCTACAAAGCCCAAGGGCCCTTTCTCCTCTTTGCTGGTAAACTAGACATTTTAAAACCTTCAGAGAGGAAAAATTCAAATGGGAAATAACTGAATCTCACTCACCAAACAGGAAATTATTTTTAGGATACGTTTTAACACATTTAAAATATCCAACTGCTCATCCCCAAAATATCAATTGCATTAAAGTTAACATTATGGAAAAAGTGTCCAGATTAATGCAGGTATAGATTATCCAAACCGGCACAATGCCTGAATTCCAGCAGGTCTCTGCGTACGTTGGACCTACTCTGTCATCTTTAGAGGCTCGTTGACGTATGTTGACAGGATGGGCAGCAGGTCATATATGCCGCTCACAAGAAAAGCACCTTGGAGAAAATGAGAGACAGCAAACAAATATTAAACAGGGGGGAAAAAACACATTAGGATATATTTCTGATCTTTAGAGTGTTCTGATATTCCTAGTCTGGACCCTCACCTTTAATGTTTGGTGTGCTGCTGTACTGGGACCAGTCGGTGGAGAGCACCATGGCAGCAAGGTGGGCCCCTGCAGAGTGGCCACACAGGTACAGACCACTAAACAAGGAATTGCAGAGACATTATTCAACACAGATGAGCAGATTCTATTCCAAACAATATCTAGCATGGTGAAATTTATTATTACTTTACCTGATATGCGAGTACTGCTGAATGACGGACACAACACTACGGCGAACCTGTGATACCATCAGATCCATGTTACCTTAAAAGGAGGCACAGCAGACAGATGACATTTCCAGCTCATCTCCTCCTCATCCTTTCATCTACAGATCTAGTGAGGAACCTTACCTTTGGGGGCGATATCGTAACCAACAGCAACCACAACTACATCCTTATCAACGAGTGGGACGGCCATGAATCCAGACTCCTCTTTGCTGGGAAGATTTTTCTTTTATTGAATTGACATTTGAATCTAGATTAGAAATAAAGGATGGGATAAGGAGCCACACCTGAGGAACTGCCAGTAGCCTCCATGGATGTAAATAACCAGGTTGACGTCTGAGAGAGAGGATATGCAGCTGGTTATTAGTTCACTGGGAGTTGCTTCAGGTCATTTTTAAACATAACGTCGTACCCAAAGAGCTGGTCCTGGGGATGTACACATCTAGTTTCTCTCCATCCCCCTCGCCGTACGGGACATCAATCAAAGTCTGAGCCAGGCTACGGGCTCGCTGTGTACCTGAAAAAAGAATGAGGGCACCGTCAGACAACAACTGATTTAAAAAAAAATGAAAAGGCATGAGTAATGTGGCTTTATAAGAATTTTTTATTTTATTTTCTAAACTACACTTCAGCATAAAATAAGACATGAAGCGTTCGTTGAGGTACCCTCCCCCCCATCAAGGCAGTTCATCAGGGCAATGAGGAGCTGATGATATTTTCCATCACTATCTGACACCCATTTTGGTAGCAGCACAGTGATCTTTTTTTGTTTGTTTTTATGATGTAGGTTTTCCTTGTTTTGGGCAGACTACTCTATTTTTTTTTTATTTCCCTGTTTGATTCTGATTTTTTTTTTTTTGTCTTGTAACTTCTTTTGTTATGAAGGGCATAAGTGTCCATTTCCATCGCCTTTTTACTTGTAAATCAACAATTAAACCTCTAAACTGTGAGAAAAATATATTTTTTTCTCTCTGTTTTTACTCCCTTATTATTCAGTAGAAATTGTATTGCTGACAGAGATGAGGGATCAGCTCATAGCAGCCATACATCCTAAACAGAGGTAGGGTTAGGAGCTTGACCATCCAGGAGACCAAGTAGAGCTGCTGCTCCTTCATATTGAGAGGCTCATCTGGAGACTACATCAGGCTGGACCGCCTTAGGATTCCCCCAGAGGAGCTGGAGGAGGTATTTGGGTAAAGGAAAGTCTGGGAGTCAGCAGATCCCATTGTCCCCCCAAGCCTATCGCAAGTGATATAAATCATAAATATAAATCACAATTTTTATACTTTGAAAATGGAGCAGCCTTAAGTGGAAGCAGTAAAATATGTTTGTGCTTTAGATGACTTCCTTTTATTATACTTTCCACACATAATAAGATGTGGCATCATTTGGTGAACATGTCATTAGTGTTTAAAAGAACACAAAGAAACACATTGTTGTTAGCTTGCACTTTTTCCTATGACACCAGAGTTGCCATATTTCTCTTCTTCTAAGGTCGGAGCTGTTTAATTAGATTAGGGTTTTAGATCATTCTTTTACCACTAAAAGCAGAATATGGAGCAGACAGAAGAGCCAAACAGCATCCATAGGACCAGGGGACCCCAGTAAGAAGCTGGAGAGAGGAACTAGTATCCAGGAAGACACCTTGAAAACCTTTAAGATCTTTTCAAATTATTGCCCCCATAAAGCTGTGCTCTTTATTTCCTAACAGCTTGGAACAAAAAAAAAAAAAAGAACTTTTACAATCTAAAGCACAAGCTAATTTGATTAATTTATCTGACAATAAGACATATGTGATTGTGAATTGGATAATAAACTACATAACATAGTCATATGTTACTGAAATGTATCTCATTAGTATCTTGAATGCGACATATTAATGTGGAAAACCTTTAAATCCAACTTTAGGCCACAATTAGTTCCTGTCATGTGATTTGTTAAAGAACAAACCTCAACAAGTTTAGGTAAAAATAACTAGCTTTGCTTAAAACAACCCGTTTCAAACTAATTAATCCATTATCTTAAAAAGAAAAGAGCACAAGTAGCTTAAAATGTCCATATCCACTCAAACCCAATGACTGGGCTCACAGATTTGGATCGACAACAAACAACACACCGGTTCTCCTGTGGCCTGAAAACCAGACTTTCAGTAAATAGAACTAATTCACCGCGTCACCTCCAGACAAACAGACCTTCCTTCAGAGCCTTAACGTGGGCTTTGATCACGTCGTCAGCCGCCATCCTGTGGGACCACCTGCTGGGCGAGTACTGCTTCTCCAGCTCCTGGTTGACAGAGAGACACAACTCTGAGAGCAGCCCCGCCGCCATTCAAGCTGGCACGCGACCAGCAGCGAGGGATAAACACAGGGGACAGCGCCCTCTGCTGACATCTCTGGTCAACTGCAGGTATCAGTTACACAGCTCCTTCTCAAAATAATATTAGCATATTAGCATATTATTTTCCATAATGTAATGATAAAGCTTGAACATTCATATATTTTAGATTCATTGCACACTTGTTGAAATATTTCTGGCATTTTATTATCTTAATACGGATGAGTTTGGCATACAGCTCATGAAAACCCAAAATTTCTATCTCACAAAATTAGCATATTTTATCACAATATGCTAATATTTTGAGAAGGACCTATATTCTAAGTCTACAACAACAACTACTATTACTATTACTACTACTAATAATAATAATGTCTACGAACCATAGTGTGACGATCCCCTACTGTCCAGTAGGTGTCGCCATTTCACTGTTTGGTTTTGTTCTTTTCAGGAAGCAGGTAGAGGGGCTGCTAATTGAAAGCACCTGGTGGCTGTTAAATACTGACATCTGTCAGTCACTGGACCTGCTTGATTTGGCCTTCAGACCAGACCGGAACAGGCAGCATTGATCCACACTTCTCTTTGACTCGCTGATCATCTCTTCCTTGGCATAATTGGGAGAAAATAAATGATTGTTTCCCGTTTTTGTCAGTTCTTAAAAGTGGTGCGTGACAATAGTTGTAGCCAAGTGTTGACATTTGCTCTATTGGTTTACAATGTGCATTGTGTCTATGCTGCTAAAATGAACAATAGCATAAGTTAATATTTTTAAGGTTGATGAAGATTAACTAGATCGCTCAAATACACAATTTATTAAACAATAAAGAACCTCAGAGGGGAGAATTTTGGCTGTTCTAAAGGAAGCTGTAGTGCAAAAATACAAAATAAAACATCTGAAAAATGAAAGGGTTATCTCCTATTGAGCTAATTGCCACCGGAGCAGAACATGGTTGGGAATGGCAGCAGCGGATGAAGCTTTGTGCATGGAGGTTTGATTTCCAAAAGCAGCAAAGAAACAAACTTCTATCTCAGAAAAACATTCATGGGACAAGCTGATTTTCTGATCCATTTATCAGGGTTGGACTATGAAGGACTGAGGAAAAGTTATTTTCTTTGATAATATTTAATTAATATTTACACAAGAAATATATAATCATTGCAAATAACATAAAAAGTATATGCATTTAAAATTATCTAATATTTCTTTCAGACATTAAAAATTTATTTTCCATTTCTTTTCCCTTTTTTCTGAAAGAATGAATTAAGTTGATCACTATTGTAAATATAAAAGTTCATTGAACCCCGAGTCACATGACATTCTAATCGTTAATCTTTTAAAGGCTAATATACACCCTAAGCGAAACGACTGATTTTGACTGCTATGAGCAGAGCTCATTAATCTACTCTGTTCCTAGACTAGATTGTTCAGTGGCCATTGCAGCAGATCAAATCAAAACAAAAGACTTTACGTGCTTATATTAACTACAAACCCAATGTCAAATCACACTCAGTGATTTCAACGTCTCTAGTTTTGCGTGATCTTTACATTTTAGTCCAGTTATCATACAAACATGAAACATTAAAGGAAAAATCTTTAAAGTGAAACTCTTACGTCTTTCTGCATTTCCCTCCAGTTCATCATTTTGTTTGACAGAAAGGCTTAGCTCACTGCTAGGAAAGGAAACAATTTCAACTGCCATGTGTTGAAGATCTGAACTTTAGACCGCTGATGCTCACTATGTAAACATGGCATTCAGTGTTTAATCTGCTGTGTGACACCCTCAGCAAGTTGGCTTAATGTTTTACAGCCTTGGGGGACGCTGGAGTTGGTCAACAGATGGAAGAGGAAATGAAAGAGGAACAAATGATTGCAGATTTCTGTTCTCTCCTTAATATATAGTCTTAACTTCAGGACCTGAGGCTGTAATGTAAGAGCAGTAGTATGAGTTCAAGCAAAGAAAAGGACCCCTCTGAAATTGTTTACACTCTGTAAACTATTTCATGTTTTGTCACAACAGCGTTATTCAGTGTGTTATGTGTTTTCCAGTGATTTCTAATCATTCTTTTTCACAAGGATGTTTAAGATAATTCATTTTCCAGAGCATCTGTGAACATCAGATTTGTTTTTTTCACCACAAATTTCCAGGGGGATATATATGTGAACACTGACCAGGCCATACACTTACCTTACACATAAATACACCATGATCTAAGTCTTACCATTTGTCTTTTGTACAATGTTTACAATCGCTGTCCTGTTGGGGAGTGAACCTCTCCTCCAGAATTGCTTCTTTTTTAGTCCAAGCTGTGTTTTTTTTTTCTTCTGTATTTGTATCCCATGTATTAAGCTCCACCCATCTTCCCATTAGCTCTAAACTGCTTATCTTTTGTTGCTTCGATTCGTTCTGTTAACCGGCTTTGACTAAGTATTCTGTTTGTTCATGTTGTATTTTTTATGGCCCTTTTTAAACAACTCAATAAGATCACTGGTTCGGATTGTCTTCTAAAATATAATAGCTTTTCACTAAAACAATCAGAGATTAGAGTTCTTAACTTCTTTAAATATTGAGCCGATGCGTCAAGTGAATTTCTTCCCTGTGAGATCAATAAAGTCTATCTTATCTTAATCCAAAATATTTGTTGTTTAATTGAACTGCAGCTTTGTGCTAAGCTCAGGCATAGGTCTAATGGAAACCCTAGGAATACTGATACAAAAGATTAGCATATCTGTATAAACTGCAAAATGTTACTGTAATTCTCAGTTAGTCAACAACTTTTGTGTCACTATTATGTATCTTGTTAATGTCTGTTAATACATTTTTGTCAATTTTTAAACAAGAATAGTCTATCATGTTGTTTGGACTAATTTTTAAAATTTATATAATTTAAAATTAAAATAATAAATTTATATAAAGTTATTTCATTATACAAAACGATTCAAATGCCATATTTTCACAGTTCTTTACATCTCTACATCCTGTTTATTAAGAGACATACTACTCATTGTGTTACTTTTTTCTGTTAAATCCTTTTATAGACAACCCATAAATTATGTGCTGGTTGAATAAATTCCCTATAAAAGTTTAGATTATTAAAATATGGATGATCACGCTGTTGTGTAAGTGTTGCTTCATTACTTCTTAAACTAACTCAATATATTTCTTATTTGTCTGATTTACATGAACCGCTATGGCTATAGGCACTGTTCAGAGTAGTTCTCATTTTAACAGCAAGCGTTAGCTCTATTTTGTAAAAAAAAAAAAAAAAAAAAAAAAAAAAAAAAA